CCAGTGGAAGAAACCCAGAGCACGTTTTGCATCAATGGGTTCCTTCAATTCTAACAAAACACTCTCGACGAGCCCTCCATCTAATTTAACAGATTCAAATTTGGTCGTCAGAGTGTCCCAATTCCAACTGCTTCTGAATGAGTCACGGATGGCTTTGGCAACATCTTTTGGTGCTGAGTCTGTATTGATCAGTCGGGTTTTCTGATTGATGGGTATGGGAATTAAAGATTTTGAAATTCGACGCAGCCAAAAAGCCATGGACTAAAGATGAATGAAGCTCTCCTATTTTGTATATTTTCATGACCAACACTTGACAAAGTAGCCAAATTGCAGTTCGTATTGTAGTTTTTTTCTCTGAGTGTTCATGACCCAATCTCTTTTTTATTTTTTATTTTATTGAAGTCTCAATCTCGTTGAATGTATTGGTTATATAATTGTTTTTATAAATATTGGTTCTGTAATTTGATGTGTTTTTAATTAATTTTTTATGATGTTAAATGATCTAATAAACAATAAATTAATTTTGAAATTAAAAAATAAGATGAAGTTCGATGTTGTCCAGTGTGACCTTGTATCAAACAATGGACTAGACTTAAGTCCAATCCATTCTAGTGCTTACTCAACAACTCAATAGGATTTGAAGTCTAATCCAATCCAAGTCATTTCAGTACAACACTCCAAACTCAATCTCGATCAATCCAGTCCAACCCACCAAACGAAGTTGATTGTAATTTGATGTATTTATAATGAAATTTTTTAACTTATGATGAGTGAGTTGCCGTTCTTAGCAATCAACTTCTCTAATTGAGACTGAAATTTGGAGATGCAGTGGGAGAAGAAGAAGAAAAGTGAGAAGACGATTTGTTTTGTACAAAGAAACCCAACTTTACCAAACACTTATTTTTATGATAAGCGTTAGAAATAATAAGCAGGGTTCCACAACTTTACCAAACACTTTAATGTGATCTTGTCATTGAAATGATAACAATACAAAAAAGTAAATACAAAGATCACACATGAAGGCTTCGTTCGACGAAAAGAAATAAAAAAAAACAATCACACATGAAGGCCGCCTTTCAGATTGATCATGAGCTGCTTTATTGGCTTGCCTTTTCATTGGATGGATGAAAGGTTAGCTCCAATTCCTGCATGCAAATTCAATTGGAAATATTAAGTTAATAATATTATATTACTAAAATCATTAAAGAATATTTATGGTTATTATTATTTAAACTTACTATTTAATGGTTGAGTAGACCATTTGGATGATAGTCAACATCAAAATGATAATGAATGGGATCATCTGCTTTGTTGCCCAAGGAGAATTGAAAAAATGTCTCTTCAAAGTGGATTTCCATTTGATCCACGGGCTTTTCAAGTAGCGGTCCAACTCCTCACGAACACTTCCAAAATAGAAGTCTGAGATGACAACCCCTTTGCCAAGGTCGTTAATCAGAGTAGACACCTCATTGTGGTCGCTTAGCATATTTATAAAAATTCCTTTCCTAACAAGCAACTCCACATCCATCGGTGCGTTCACAAAATCATCCAAGATGGAAAGATAACTGTTTACATAAGAAGGGCAGCCATGACATTGCTCAAAGGCAACAATATTTCTAAACAAAAGCTCACTGCCGTTGTGAATCAGTAATCTTGGAATTTCTAGAATTCCGTCCACGAATCGTATGGCAGATAAGCTTGTGCTTGATCCCCACACAATTTTTACTCCAGCCATCTCTAGTTCGGAGATGCTCGGTGCATTTACAGCTTTCACTTCCCCTCCTATATTAATAATATGTGAATCCTTGGGGAGATAAAATAGTCTTAAAAACGCAATAAAGTGTTCTACTTTCAAACTTGAAGAACCTAGCATCCCCACATTCTGTACCATGCTCGTCGAACTAAATGTCATATTGATGAACTCAAAGGCGAGGTTCATCATCGAAGGAATGACATAAGTAATGTTACTGTTGGCATCGGCTGCAATTCTCTGTAGTTCAAGAAGATCCTCAAGGATGCAAAACGGCACTTGATTTTCCAACTTGAGCATGTCTGGCATAATATAATTTATTATCCAAGACTTGCTGGAGATGTTATCGTGGTCATCCACTCCTAATGGGTTGAAACGGTGACCACATAACTTCAACAAAATCTCTATCACGAAGGCGGCATCCACCATCATGATTTGTATGAAGTCCTCGCTACTGAACTCAATGACGTCTGCATAGCAAGCGCGCAACTTTTCTTCTTGATCTTTTATCTTCTTAATGTAGACCTCCAAGCGTACGTCGACCCTATGCAGGAATTTTTTCAGGTAGCTCCTTTTCAGTTCTTCCATCGGTTTTAAGTCTCCGTTGTCATGATGGAGTGTGCCTATGGATATTACTGAAGGCGTGTAGACATCTTTGCTTTTGCATCGTAGATAGGCAGGAACTCTATAGATGCAATGTCCTTCTCTCGAGACAGATGTATCCAACATCTGTCTAATGGAAGCTGCCAATAAAATATAGGGATTTTCTATATTTATTGGAGCTTCATTGTTTCCTGCCCTTCTCCTCATTTCAGCTTGTGTGAGCTTCAGTTGAGAAGAAAAATGTTCGAAAAATTAGAAAAATTAGAATTTAATTCATCCAAATTAAATGCATATATACTGAAATTAATTTTTAATTAAAACCTAGAGTGGGGAGTTTAATATCTAGCATTTTGCTATGACATTTTGCTTACAACGTCCCAACACATAATATACGGAGAAAACATAAACTTAAGGAGATTATGGGACAAATCTACAGAAAACTTTGTTCATTATTAATTATACAGAAAATTTGAACAGCATATATACTGCATATAAACGTTGAGACACATATCCAGTAGGGAAAAAAAGCATGTAAATACAGTAGGGAAAAAACAAAATAATCCTTTAACAAACAATTGATTTAGCTAAATGTTACGAACTAAAACTTTTCTTTATTTCTAAAGGGAGAATTCAAAAGCCTATTTTTCAATTTTGTTTGTTTTGATCAAAATAATCTTCCGTGACACTAAATTTTTGACATAAGTTTTGACACAAGTTTTCAACCATTAGATTGAAATGGATTGAACGGCTAAGATTAACTAAACTAATTGTATATTTTTTAAGAAAAATATATATTGAAAATAATTATTAATCGACTTTCTCTTTCTTGTTTCTCTATCCTCAATCAATGTTTTATCAAATCTTCCTATTTCGTCGTTCTCTATACTCTAGAATTCTTCAGTTAATGACTTTCCCATCCTCCTCCTCTTTCTTCTAAAGCTTTACAGGTTTCTGATTCTTTTTCTTTTCCATCCCTAACTTTGTTTTTTTCTTCTTTTTTTTTACTGCTTATTTTTTGGCTTGTTACAGTTATACATGGATTATAACTCTCGACCCACACACACACAATGAACTGCAAGCAAACTGTCTTTTGCCATATATTTTTTAATGTTATTATTAATCATAATGAATAAAAGCTAAATCTTGTAAGCCATTAAGATGTTAGAAATAAAAAAACAGAGAGAGAGAGAGAGAGAGAGAGAGAGAGAGAGAGAGAGAGAGAGAGAGCAACACAGAGGTAATGATGAGGTTTCGAAGGATATTAATTGAGAAGAGAGAAAATGATAAGAAAACAAAAAGCTGAAAGAATGAGTGATTTTCTGGATTATCATACAGCTACGGCTTGCCTTTTTGGATTTTGCCGAGATCGTTAGCTTTGGCCTCCAATTGAGGTTTCGAAGAGCTAACGACAAAGAAAGAGTGGATTAAATTTTTGGTTTCATGCCATTTGGTTTCTTCATATTTTGGATTCTTGCTAATAACTTGCTCCATCTTGATAGCAAAACTCTTGCCCTGTTTGATACGTCTGTGAAAAGTTAGGGTTTTAAACTTATGTGCTAATGTTATATTTGTTTATGTCATTCGCCATAAAGAGAAAAAAGACACATGTTTTTCTTAATTAAACTATAATTTGTATAATAACGTATAAATTCTGATTAGATGGTTCTTAAATTTTTCTGGTATTTATCTAGCATTAGCATGCATATGGTACTTAAGCGAATTTATTAATCGATTTAACCGATAAAGGAGGTGACGATGTTTTTTTCTCGAACTTTAAGTACGGTTTGACTTTTGCAGGGCCGTTTACATCATTTCGCGAAAAACTTAAGCTGAAAGCTCATGAAAATTGCAAAGAAGTTCCACTGAAAATGAAGCTGGAAATTAATGGAATGGAAGTAATAATAATAAGAAGTACTTACAGTGTGTTATCGCGCCCCCATTTCTTTTGAGCTGCAAAACTTCCCTAAACATGTGATCGCTTACTGCCCTCTCATTTCCACTCCTCTCTCTCTCTCTCTCTCTCTCTCTCTCTCTCTCTCTCTCTCTCTCTCTCTCTCTCTCTCTCTCTCTCTCTCTCTCTCTCTCTCTCTCTCTCTCTCTCTCTCTCTCTCTCTCTCTCTCTCTCTCTCTCTCTCTCTCTCTCTCTCTCTCTCTCTCTCTCTCTCTCTCTCTCTCTCTCTCTCTCTCTCTCTCTCTCTCTCTCTCTCTCTCTCTCTCTCTCTCTCTCTCTCTCTCTCTCTCTCTCTCTCTCTCTCTCTCTCTCTCTCTCTCTCTCTCTCTCTCTCTCTCTCTCTCTCTCTCTCTCTCTCTCTCTCTCTCTCTCTCTCTCTCTCTCTCTCTCTCTCTCTCTCTCTCTCTCTCTCTCTCTCTCTCTCTCTCTCTCTCTCTCTCTCTCTCTCTCTGGACCGACCTCTCATTTCTTGCATAAGAAGGGTACTATCTTTGTGTTTCTTGATGGAAGCATACATATAAGAAAAGGATGCCACAGACGGACAGCTTACCTCATTTATTATGCTCATAATTTTTGGTCCTTTTAATTTCGAATGGAAGGTCTTGTCTTTAAAAAAGTCTTTAGAATTTGGAGACAGAGACCACAGTGCCAGAATCCTTGTAGCATCTAAAATTTGGTGACATAAAGATTAAATATGAATTAAATACGAATCCAGCCATCACATAAAGTTTTTCTAAAAATGATTAAGCAGTGACATGTGAGTCTGTGATTGCAACTGCCAAGTGACATACGATGGATGAGCGAGATATACAAGAAGGGTACGTATAAGAAAAGGATGCCACAGACAGACAGCTTACCTTATTTATTATGCTCATAATTTTAAATAGAAAACAACATAAAAACGTTATTATTGCTTTTTTTTTTCTAGTATAAAATTAAAATGATTATCAAATTGAGCATATTAAAGTATTTTCGAGAGAGAATATTAAGCAAAAAAGGCATGAAGTATACAGAAAAAGTAGAGAATATTATACGTTTTTAATAATCTAAGTGCATGATAGGTCGCCTATTTGCCTCATGACCATAACTATA